AGCTTCTCAGACTAAACACCTTGTGCTGGCAATGTGCAATAGCACAGCCCACCTTTTCCTTCCAAGACCAGCGAATGGCAGCAGAATGCAAAAAAAGAAATAAAGGCAGTTCAGGAGAGAACCAGATAATGAGAATCAGCTCGTGGACTTAATAGGTACACTGGCAAGCTGTTCCTGTGATCAGCCTCACTGTTTTAATTGGATGTCTGTAAATTAAATAGATGATCTGACCCTCTGGCCCTAGCGTGATGCCAGATGGACCTTTTACACTTAGGCAGAAAAACAGCATTCTAATGAATATTAAAGAAATTAAAAAATAACATTATTTTTACCTCTCTTGCTACTGACAGAGAGCAGTGTTTTGCTTGGTAAATAGCCCCCTAGGAACCAACGGAAATTTGAATATCCTAACTGCTTCCCATGCATAATGTTAGCAGAGGAGACAAGAAAGTCACTGGCTGAGCTTTCCTTCTCTGTGCTCTGTTGGAGCTTCCTTCAGTCCTGGCATGAAGATAGAATCATAGAATCATAGAATCATAGAATCATAGAATCATAGAATCATAGAATGGTTTGGGTTGCAAGGGACCTTCAAGATCATCTAGTTCCAACTCTCTTGCCATGAGCAAGGACATCTTCCACTAGATCAGGAAGATGCAACGAGGCTCTCGGGGCATCACAGGGCTGCCTGACCACTGGCGTTGTAAAGCATCATGGTGCAGTGCACATGCACACGGAGTGTTTTTGGATGTGATTTTCGTCACTGCTAGGATTGAGGGGAAGAGAAGCTCTGTGTTGCAAACAAGTCTCCATCACCTGCCTGCAATCCTGGAGCCAGGGCACGCTGGCCAAGGCACTCAAGGCAGCGGTCCACACCCACACAAAGGGTGGACGTGGGTACCTTTCTCTGCACGCTGTTTGCAGGGCAAATCTCTTTCTGGATGTTGGCTTAGTCCTCTGTACTTCCCTAGAGGATGAGCTCTTTCTTTTCCCTCTCAGTCACCAAATCACTCATCAGCAGCTCTAGCGTTTCCCGCACAGTGTCACCGCACACACCACAGCATCCTCCTGCCAGCCTGGCTCAACCCTCTTGTATTTCACCAGCTGCTGTCAAAATCCTGCCATCCCAGCCCTGCTTCCTGGATGAGGTCATCCTGTTCCCGTGCTTCCTTCTCTGTGCTCCTCTCTTTATTTCCAAGGACAGTCATCTGCAGTGTATCCTGTTTCCCCACACTGGGATGAAATTGAGCCAGCTGAACTTAAGGGAAAGACTTTGGGGCTGATTTTACCCTCCCAGCCTCCCTCTTTTGGTTATTTTTTTTTGCCCATGAGATCAGAGACATGATTGTCCCTGCATCAGGTCCTCTCTAACCCACTGCAATTCTTCCTCACAGCTTTCGGGAATGCAAAGACCATCCGTAACGACAACTCCAGCCGATTTGGGAAGTACATCGACATCCACTTCAACAAAAGGGGAGCCATCGAGGGAGCGAAGATTGAGCAGTACCTGCTGGAGAAGTCTCGGGTCTGCAGGCAGGTAAGGTGATACACCTGCAAGGTGTGGGAGAGGGCACTCGATCTGTTGACCTTTGCAGTGGTGTTCTCACAGAACTAAGACTTGTTCTTCTACTGCAGGCCCAGGACGAGAGGAATTACCACGTGTTTTACTGCATGCTGAGGGGAATGACGATGGAGCAGAAGAAGAAACTGGGTCTTGGGAAAGCCACGGACTACAACTACCTTGCGATGGTGAGAGCACAGCGAAGCAGAGGTTTGGTGGGGTGATGTTGGTGAGAGCTTCTTAGCAAGGGAAAG